CTTCTGGTCTGTTTGTTAACTAGTGGTTTGGAAAATCATCCATTAGCGATTGACTTCTCCTGTAATGTGCTAAATTGGGCAGATGGTTTGCTCTTACTTGTTAAAAGACCTATAGCCCCAAGACTCAGTGCCACGCAAGTGCCAATGACAAAGAAAACAGTGATTCTTTTTAGTGTCCACTATGGCCTGAATGTCTGTGTCCCCTCCTCCTCCCCTGTGAATTCATATGCAGAAATCCTAGCCTCCAAGGTGATGGCACCTTTGGGAGGTGATTAGGACCTGAGTGTGGAGCCCTCTTGAACAGGATGAGTTTCCTCATTAAAGGTGACCATGAGAGACCCTGTCCCTTCCACCACTGAGAAGACAATGTTCATGAACCAGGAAGTGAGCTCTCACCAGACACTGAATCTGCCAGTGCCTGGATCCTGGACTTCCCAGCCTCCAGAACTGTGAGAAATACATTTCCGTTGTTCAAAAGTCACTCAGTAGGCCAGGCACCATAGCTCAAGCCTATAATCCCAGCACTTTGGGAGGCCGAGGCGAGAAGACTGCCTGAACTCAGGGGTCCAGCCCAGGCAACTTGGCAAGACCCCATCTCTACAATAGATAAATAAATAAAAATTAGCTGGCGTGATTGTATGCACCTGTAATTCCACCTACTTGGAAGGTTGAGGTAGAAGAATCACCTGAGCCGAGCAGGTTGAGGCGGCAATGGCCATAAGCATGCCACTGCACTCCAGCCTGGGCAAAAGAGTGACACTGCTACTCAAAAAAAAAATAAAAATAAAAATAAAAGTCACCCGGTTTATGGCAATTTGTTACAGCAGACCAAACAGAGTAAGACAGTGTCTTTACTTTAAGAACCATATGGAAAAAATAAATAACTAATAATAAAAAATACTAACAAGGGAGAGCTTAACATTTAAATACCCCACTTACAAACTATTCCATCTCAAAGAGAGTTGAAAAGAGTGAGAATCACATGTTTTCAGATACAAACTGGGAGGCTGCTCCAGTGCAATGTCAGCTAACAGGGAAATCGGACCATTGCTAGCCAGCACGCACTGCTCAGTGTCACAGTCAAGGTGGAGAGTTTTAATATGCACAGTTAAGCTGGAAGACTCTGGCAATGAACTGGAAATATGACTTGTCAGCATATCTAAACAGATCCCCCAGAGAAAAGAACTCACACACTATGATCTCTTGTACTCTGGTCATGGCCTTTTAAAAATAGGGGTTGCTTTTTAGATTTGGAGTCTTTACAAGAAATTCATAAGGAGCCCGTTCAGCCCAAGGCAGGAGCAAGTAAATGGGAGGTGTGTTCACAGCACATGGAGGACGGGGGCTCATAGTGCATGGGGGGGGCTCACAGCACAGGGTTCATGGCAAGTGGGGGGCAGGCATTCACAGCATGTGGGGAATGGGTGCATTCGCCCAAAACTCCTCTCGGTTTTGAAAATACTCCTGTTAATTTGCACTGTTAGTGAACTGGATACCTCCCCCCCTCCACAGAAAGAGTCTTTTCTACTTACAAAGTGATCGTCAGTATATATTATAAAGGTTCTTGGTTTAATTGTTATTACATTGAAATGTGCATAACTGATGTAAATGACCTATTTTTTTTTTTTTTTTTTTTTGAGTTGGAGTCTCACTGTGCTGCCTAGACTGGAGTGCAGTGGCACGCATATGGCCACCCCAGCATCGACCTGCTGGGGTCCAGCAATCCTTCCGCCTCAGCCTTCCAAGTAGCTGCAACTATAGGTACACGCTACCGTACCTGACTAACTTTATTTTTTATTGTAGAGACTAGGTCTCACCAAGTTGCCAGGGCTGGTCTCAAACCCACGGGCTCAGGCAATCCACTCGCCTCAGTCTCCCAAAGTGCAGGGATAACAGGCTGAGCCACCAAGCCCAGCCATGACCTATTCTTATGAAATGATCTATGTGGGATCCTGTCACTACCTTTAGAATATTGTCATTCACCTGACACAAGCACTTATGCAGTTCCTGGCACATGCTGGCTGTCGTTGTTATGACTATTGCTACCTCCATGGTTGCAATAATACTTTAGCTTTGCAATTTAAAAAAAAAAAATGAGCCATTGACTGTTCACTGCTCTGTGCAAAATGACAATTCAAATTAAAGTCTTACAAGAAAAAATAAATAAATTCGGCACTCACCACCAGTGCTTTTACTATGGTTTTCCCAGCCACCGCTTGGCTGCCTTCAGTTATGCCTCCAGCAGTTTCTTCAAGAAAGGCTGGCAGCTGAATATAAAATTGAGCCACACCTTCTTTCCCTTAAGCCTTGATCCACTGTCCTCTAGAGCTGGATGCCAGCGTTAAGTAATCTGAAGTCAACCTCATCACTGTTGTGCTTAAAAGTAGCTCAATCTGACTCAACTGCTCTAAGGATGATTTTGTCTTAGACTTCTAGTCATATCTTATTTTTTTACTGAGACATATGCCCTCTGACTCTGAAAACCCAGATCTTTTTGTTTTGGGAAACCCCCCCTTGAATAATATTTTAAGATATTTCTTCTATGTCATAACATTTCTTCCTTGTGGACTCCAATTATGTGTATGTTGAATCTCCTTAATCTTTCACCTCTATCATGTTCTCCTTTTACTTCCTTTTCATTTTGTCTGGTTTTTTATTATTCTGCCTTGATTTCATGGCCTTGTTTTCAGCAGTATCTCTTCCCACGTTTGCTGCATCCAATTTTGCCTTCATTTTTTGTAATGTTTTTAACATTTTTTATGTTTTTATGTTTTATTCTACTTCTTTGCTGACTCTGTGACTCACATTTCATCATCTGATGTCTTGCCACGTGTCAACTTATTTTATAAAGGTAGTTATTTTATTTGTGTGCTCTTCTTTTAAAAAGGCAATTGCTTCATCTTTTTAATCATGTGAAAATCATCATAACTTACAAATGCTCTATAGCAATCATTTTAATCTTTTAAGTTAAGTACTTTTTTTTCCTTTTTTTTTTTTTCTGAGTCAGAGTCTAGCACAGTCACCTAGGCTGGAGTGCAGTGTCACATTCACAGCCACCACAGCTTCGACCTGCTGGGCCCAGGCGATCCTCCCACCTCAGCCTTCCAAGTAGCTGGAGCCACAGGCATGCACCAGCTAATTTTTTTGATGTATCACAGAGATGAGGCTTCACCAAGTTGCCTAGGATAGTCTCAAACCCCTGGGCTCAGGCAACCGTCTCGCCTCTGCCTCCCAAAGTGTGGGATTACAGGCAGGAGCCACCACGGCCAGCTGAAGTACTCTTCTTCTGCCTTTTGTTTTTCTGTTCCTTCCTCCCTTCCTTCTTGTCCAATTTTAGGAGCAGATTCCATGCTCTTCCTTTTAGGCAAACCCAGTTTTTATTTAGTTGAGGTTTTCAGCACCAGCTATTTGTGAAAACTTAGAGGAGAAGGGCTGGGTATTCATTCCAAGGAACAGGAAGTTTCCTCCTGACACAGGGTTATACGGGAGTCCCTTTCATCCTTCCTCCTCTCAGGCCAAAGGAGACATGCAGCTCTCCAAGTGCCTCATCTCTCCCTGCCATGTGGACACACTGCGTGATGCAACCATGCTGAACTCCTTGGTCAGTCTTTCCTCTCCTGCCTCTCAGGATAAAAGCAGGTCCAGAGACTCATCTATCACAACCTGTGCATTCTATTCTTGTTGACAAAAACAGGCCAGGCACAGTGGCTCATACCTGTAATCCCAGCACTTTGGGAGGTGGAAGCAAGAGGATTGCCTGAGCTCACAGGTTCGAGACCAGTCTGGGCAACATGGTGGGACCTCCCCTCTATATTAAATTTTAAAAATTAGCTGGGCATGGTGGTGCACGCCTGTAGTTCCAGTTACATGGAAGGCTGAAGTGGAAGAATGCCTGAGCCCAGCAGGTCGAGGATGTGGTGGCCATGAGCATGCCACTGCACTCCAGCCTGGGTGACAGAGTAAGACTCTGACTCAAAAAAAGAGAGAGAGAGAGAGAAAGAAAAAACAAAGGGTTCTGGTGTCATGGCTCCCAGTGGAGAAATGCATGTGGCTAGTTCTTCCTGAGACACACATGGCCCCACATATGGGTCTCCCCACACTTCCTCTAGCAGCCCTGTGTGGTCTCTAGGTCATCTCACAGCCAGGCCTCCTTGCTGGGCTCACAATGTCAGATATCTTCAGTTCTCCCAGTTTTATCAAAGATTGAGCATGCATTTCTTTTTTCCATTCTCCTTGCTGTTTGGAGGAGAGTTTCCAAGGCAAGAAAGGGAGAAGGTCAAGTCGACCCTGCTATATTCAACCTGGAACTTCTCAGTAGGGGCAACTTTTTATCACAACCAGGATTGCTGTTGCCTTATGATTCCAGAGCCCCGTCATGTGTATCTTCTCCCGTATACACGCTGTCCACAGGCTAACTACTAGCAACTTAAGCCTCAAAAGATTAGGTGTTACTCAAGGAATCAGAGCTAGTCAGAACCCAGCTCTCTTGACTCCTAGTCCAGTGCTCTTACCACACTGCACATCCATGCACGCATATGGCCACTGAACTCACTAATCTTCTTTTTTTTTTTCTTTGAGTTGGAGTCTCATTCTTTCACCCAGGCTGGAGTGCAGTGGCACACTCACAGCTACCACAGCCTCGACCCACGGGGCTCAGGTGATCCTTCTGCCTCAGCCTTCCAGGTAGCTGTAACTATAAGCACATGCCACTGCCCTCGGCTAATTTTTCAATTTATGGTAGACACAAGGTCTTTCCAAGTTGCCCAGGCTGGTTTTGAATCCCTGGGCTCAGGCAATTCTCTCACCTCTGCCTCCCAAAGTCCTGGGATTATAGGCATGAGCCACCACGCCCAGATTCACTGACCTTCTTTCTAAGTATACTTATTACCAGAGGCTAATCCCTAAGAATTATATTTAGAAAGGAGTAGGAAACCACATAACCAACACATATCAGGGGTGAGGAAGAAAGAAAACCAAAATACAGGCTCAGTTTCTGTTACCTGGCTTACTGTCTGTCACTCCTTCCATGAGAACCAGTCCTACTGGTCGCTGACAAGCGATGTCACAGAAGCGGAAACGCAGCAGGAAGTCTCGACCATACTTACGCCTCTCTGTAAACCAGGAAAAGCCATATGGTTAAAGAAAGAAAACACAGCCTGCACTGAGACCTCCCTAGTACCAAGGAACCTCTAGCACAGGGACACCGAGGAAGTCTGGCCCTGAAGACAAGGAGAGTTGCCAACGGCTCTTGAAGTTGCCCATTTTACTGGGTAACCACAGGGAAGATGGTGAGAAAAACCAAGGAGCTTGCTGGGAGAAAGGAGGAGATGACACTTCCGCTTGCCATCGGGATCCCAGCTTCCTCCCAAAATGGGCAAGAAGAGAGGACACCCAAGAATGCCACGTGTGCTCACCTGATCTCCTGAGGTGACAGGAGGTGACATACTGACAGCAATCGGTGATGCCCAGGGAGCTGGGCCACAGCGGGACCTGCAGCTTTCTCTGGTAAAGCTGATGGGAGAAGTCTTCCTGTCCAGACACCTACCAGGAAAGAGAGGGCGGAATAAGGATGCCAAGACAGAAAAAGGAAACCACAGCCTGTGTTTGGGACACATGGACACATACAAACACACACATCACATACTGCACACATGATATAAGCAAGTCTCGGGAGAAGGTGAAAAATAAGGTGCTAATCACAACCATTGTTTGTTACTAAAAACACGGAAAAATCTACATGACAGAAATGAAGAGCCAGAGTGAGTCCCAGAGAGCAGAACTGTGTGAACGTGAGTCCCCTCACTCTCACCTCAGGAGGAGCTACGCCATTCTCCACAGGGAGCAGTGGTTCTCTGGGGCTTTGGTTTTTAGTGGGAAAAGGCTGATTTCTGGGTTCTCCGGATCAAGGTCTACTATTCTGAACCTATTATTGGGAAACTACAGGGGCAAACCAGATGGGAAGGTCCCATAGCACTTGACGCACAATGTCCCCATCCTCAGTCAAGGCCCATGGCCATCTGGGGATGCACAGGATACAGCAGGGAAATGCTGGCACCATCAGGGACCTGCACATCGTCAATGCATGTGGCAAGATCCCCTCCATGTCACTTAATGACCACAAATGCCAAAAGACAGGAGCTAGACGCCGGGGACAGAGCAGCGACAGACACATCTCTCTGCCTCTGAAAGGCACACATGTTCAATGTGTGATCTGGAGTTCAGTGGCCACTTAACATCTGTGCAACTTTGGGCACATTAGTTAACCCTCCTGGGTTCAACATCCTCCACTGTAAAATGGGCTAATAGCACCATGCACAATTAAGAATCTCAATATAAGCCGGGCTCGGTGGTCAGCCTGTAATCCCATGCTTTGGGAGGCTGAGGTGAGTGAATTGCCTCAGCCCACGGGTTCGAGACCCACCTGGGCAACTTGGCGAGACCTCATCCCCACAATAAATCAAAAATTAGCCAGGCATGGTAGTGCGCACCTGTAGTTCCAGCTACCTGGAAGGCTGAGGCGGAAGGATCACCGGAGCCCAGCGGGTCGAGGCTGCAGTGGCCAGGAGCAGCCACTGCACTCCAGTCTGGGTGACGGAGTGAGATTCCAACTCAAAAAAAGAAAAGAAAAAAAAAAAGAATCTCAACAGCCACTACCCGTTACTGACTGCTTCCTTTGAACCAGGTCCTGGAAAACACTTTCATGCATTATTTTACTTAGTCTACCCAAAGAACAAATAAGCACCTCTGAAGCAGGCCCCATTACATCCCCAAGTAAACTGACGTAAATGGGGCTTGAGTAAGTTCAGTAACTTGCCCAAGGAAGCAGAGCAGAGATGCAGACTCGAGAAGGCCTGGCTTCAGAGAAAGTACTCTCATTCACAACACCCAGTGGTGTCATCACACGGGACGTGCCGCAGGCTCCTGTCCCATGCCCCGACTCCTGGACTGCAGCTCCTTCCAAGCAAGGTCACGCCTTTCTGGGCACATGGCAACCAGGCCACTGCTGGCACCTGAATATCCTCATTAACACAAAATCCCAATGTGCTTCACAGTCATCCAATCATTTTATGAACTTTCTCCATTGTGCCTTGCTAAAAGTTAAGCAAGAAATTGGACCCGCAAGGGTAAAACAGAGGATCAAGGAGAGCAGACAACATCTACAGAAACCAGCACAAGCCAAGAGGACTGTGGAATATCCATGTAATCAACATTCATCGGTCAGAAGAGACAAGACAGACCCATATGCAAATCGCTGAGTGAAACAGGCAGGGGCATGTCATGTCACTAGAACACACCTGACCACCTACTTATCGGCTGCCAGAGGCAACGACAGCACAGCATCTGAGGTGAGAAAGCTGCAGCCAGACCACTGTTGCAAATATCCCAGCCCCACCACCAGCAGCCTCCATGACCTAGAGAGATTACTTTTCTGGGCTTTAGTTTCCTCATTTATAAAATGGAAGCAATGATAGGAATTGTGAAAATGAGTTAATGCAGGTAAAGAGCTTAAAACTGCACGTGGCTCACAGTAAGTGCTTATCAAGTGGACATTCTGATTACAGCATCATAGAAACACAGATATCACTGTCAATGCACAGAAAACAGCCAAGAAGACCCCCACCAGACCTAGAACAAACACCTGACTCCAAAAGGAGTGGGCAGGGCATGCAGGGCACAAAGGAGGCCTGGGACTGACTTTACGATGTTTGAATTCCAGCAAGAATGTGCTTACGTGTTACTTGTGAATTAAACAGTGATAAAAATGGAGAGGATTCCACTATGCCAAAGGACTCATGCTCCTTACTGCCAGGCGTGGGCACAGCTATTCAACACACTAAGGAGGGCAAGAGGGCCCTGCCACACGTGAGGCTGGGTGCCAACACCCTTCCTCCCCCAGCCCATCTCCATCCCTGCGGCGGCCTCTCCGTGTCGTGTCACCTTCCAGGCCGGCATCCCGTGGTACTGGAGCTCGCCTTCCCTGAGGAAGTTGTAGAGGGGCGAGTCGGGGACAGAATTCAGGTCCCCACACAGGATGATAGGGCAGTGGCTGCCATCTGACAGCCTGGCCACCTTGTCCACTTCCGCCAGAAGAACGGCCATCTGGGCCAGCTTGACGTCACCACGGCGTGGGTTGTAAAGGACATGGGTGTTTGCCACACACAGGGGGGCCACCGAGACTGGCCCCAGGCCCTCTGGGACGAGCGGCTGCAGCAGCAGCACGAGGCCCACGTTGTCCCGATTGAGGAGCTCCAGGCCAGGCCGGAAGAACTCCACAGGGCTGGCGCAGAGGAGGCGGAACCGGGTGGGCTTGTAGCAGACGGCACAGCCATCCGTCTTACAGCCCGTTCTCCTCTTGTAAAAGCAGGTGAAGCCTGCAAAGCAAACCCCACGAAGACGGGTCAGTGTCCTGAAAGCCGGAATCCCTCCAGCTCGTGGCAGCAGCCAGGTGTGGGTGCCAGGCGCTGATCCCACCCAGTAAGAGGCGCACTTGCCCCGCCGCTCCCTGGGCTCTGTAGTGGTTCCTACAGTTGTAACAGGGTGGCTGAGGGGCTGGAAGCGGAAGGAAGGAAGAAAGGCATGAAGCAACACAACACGCCAGTAAGAGCGCGGAGCCTGGGGTCAGACCAGCTGGACTTTAGCTCCACATCCACTAGCTTGTGGCTCTGTGATTTTGAGAAAGTTGCACAAATTTTCAAACCTCAGTCGCCTCATCTGTAAAATGGAGGTAATAGCACTCAGTTCCTCTACATTGGTTACTTCATGCATTGAATGGCAATATATGTCAGAACTGCTTTAAAAACCACAGGAATTGACTTTCTCACCCATACATAGGAGAGTTAGCTCACAGATGAGACTGAGGGTCTATCACACAAAAGAAAAAGATGGTTCTTCAGGAGGAGTGGACAGGGTATCGGGAGGAAGCTGTAGGCATGCCAGGAGCTGCGTTACCCATCATGCGCAGAGAGGGCTCCAGCTGCTCCCAGTAATGGTCTTCCTGGACTTCTTGGAGACACAGGATCTGGGAAGGTGACAAGGAACCCAATCACTCCAGAGTGCTAGGATGTGACTCCCACCCTGAGACAGGCCCTGAGGCCAGATGGGAAGCTGCTGTAGACCTCAGGCAGGGTCACAAGGAGACCTGTCACAGGGCTGGCTCCTCCCAGATAGTCACCAGTAGCAAGAAGGGCTCAGACTTAGGCGAGAAGACCACACATGTGCCAGGACGGTCCTGCTCCTTGAAGCCCTCCAGTTTCCTCCCTGCACAAGGTGCTAGAACATGCTAGAACGTGTACGCTTAGGGATTCTTCTCAGCATCTGCCAGAAACTCACTGGATCAGGCAGGCAGCTCCAGCCCTGGACAGGACTCCAGTCATGTGAACAACTACAGGGCCGAACGCATCTTCTAAAGGCCTGGGAAGCAGCCCAGGTCCGGCAGCCACATGAGGTGGTGCCACCCCTCTGCACTCACATCCGGGTCCCAGTGCTGGAACTCCTGCAGGAGGTTCGCAAAACGATAGTTCCAGCTGAGGATGTCCGGGTGGCAGTGGAGGTAGAGCTCCGCACTCTGCTGCATCAGGTCCTGTGCCAGGATGTTGTACGACATCAGGGTGAACTGGAACTGAGGGCCATCCCCTGCCTCCAGGCCCTGGGCTTCTGGCTGGCCAGAGAAGTCCTCCCACTCTCGCCACAGGATTTCTGCAGAGGGGCGGGGAGAAGTATCACCTCCACTCCTGACTCAGGGACACGATGCCTCGAGTTTTTTCCATCTTCCCTGTTATAACTCCTCATTCTGGTGACTGGGTGGCAAACTAAGGACATTCTTCAGACTAGATGGTAAGCTCCACAGCCGGGGACACTCCTGGCCTGTCCAGCACTAACCCCCCGGGACTTGCACCCAGTAGATGCTGCCTGAGTACGGACAGGGGATGACCTCTCACTTCAATAAGCCTATGCACCTCTATAGACTCACACAGATGGCTATGGGCAGTAGTCACCTGAGCTTGGTGACCTTTCTTTTCTTTTTTTTTTTTGAGTTGGCATCTCACTCTGTTGCCCAGGCTCCAGGCTGGAATGCAGTGGCACACTCACGGCCACCGCAGCCTCAGCCCGCTAGGCTCAGGCAACCCTTCCACCTCAGCCTTCCACGTAGCTGGAACCAGAGGCATGAGCCACCACGCCCAGCTAATTTTTTGATTTATTATAGAGATAAGGTCTCACCAAGTTGCCCAGGCTAGTCTTGAACCCCTGGGCTCAGGCAATCCTCACACCTCCACCTCCCCAAGTGCTGGGATTACAGGCTTGAGCCACCAGCACCTGGCCACTTGGTGACATTTCTAGAGTCATTTCAGCCATGGGTGTCTTCTGACCCCTAAAAGTCTGTGGGGCTGAGACCACACTGTATCCCCATCTCCCCTAGAGCACATGGAAGTAGATTGGACTTCACACCTCTGTGGGCTACTGTACTCTTCCTTCTTCAAACATGAATAGACCCCAGTGTATAACAAACACAAACGAGCTGGAGCTGTCCTGGCTGAGGCAGAGAACAGGGGCCCACAACCGTGCCACTCCTACCCTAGAGAGCTCCAGGCCATCTCCAGGAAACAACAGTGTGGAGAATCAGAAAAAGGTCAGTCCTCATGAGCCAGCTGCGGGACTTCTGGCATGTTCTGCCACCTCCCTGCACCATGGTTACTCATCTGTGGACCACAGGGCTGGACGAGGTGACCCGTGAGGCCCCTCCAGAACTCAGCCTACAAGATTCTCAGAGACAGAATGCAGTGGCAGAGCGCCCCACCAGGGAACCTTCTCTCCAGTGACAGCTCTGCCCACACCTGTAACGGCCCGCATCCCTGGCCCCTCTGCCAGTCACCAGACTCACCATGGTATGGTATCTCCATCAGGGGAGGCTGCAGCTGCCCCAGGCCCTCAAAGGACCAGTCGGGAGCCTCTTCCTGGGGCACAGGCTCAGGCGCTATGCTCCAGGCCAACACCGCGGGGTCCTCTTCCCACTGCTCTGTGGCCAGCACACCCATGGGGAGGACAGCACAGTCTGCATACTGGGGGCCCGTCTGCACAGGCACAGCTGCCCACACCAGGCCCTCGACCTCTGGCAGTGGCTCCTCTCCTGGCACCTCGGGGACAGGCTCAGCCAGGTTCTCTGCTGCCCACAGGTCACTCAGCTGCCTGCCGGACCACTTGTCCTCTGAAGCAGCATCCTGTTCTGCAGGATTATCCATCAGGAGTGCCAGGCTGCTTTGAGCCAGTCCCTTGTCTGAAAGGGGACCCTCGCTCACAGCAGAGAACACCTGGCTCGCCCCCTCCTCTCGCCACTGCTGCAGCAGGCCCTCACACTCCTCCTGCTCCGGGCCCCGGGGAGCCATGTCAAAGCTGCCCTCTACCTGGGGGGAAGAGCTCTTCGCCAGGAGGGCATTTTTTCGACATGTGAAGAAAGCATCTAAGGGGAAAGCCAAAATACCAGGTTGTAAGAGGCCAGCATCACCCAACCCACCCCCTCCCAGCTCGAACATAAGCCCCAGGAGACAAGAACCACACCAGCTGGCTCACCACCCTACCAGCTCTGAGCCCGCCCGCCTCAGTGCCTGGCCCAGCACCGTCATCAGAACAAAGTACGTGCTACACGCCATATGCTGTTCTCAGTGCTTTTCAAGTATTAGATAACTTCTACGGTGGGGATCTGATACATACCCCAGTGCATGAATGAAAGAACAGCCGTCCCCATAATCTAGAGCACAGACTGGCACATGTAACCACACCTCCTTTAAGTGAAGGTCAAGACTACTATTCACATCAACTCTCTGGGTCTAAGAACCACATTACATTGGAATCAGCACTTGACTATGAATCAGGTTATAGTCTGGCAACAAAATTAACCAAACTGACCTTGAACAATGCCCCTGGTCCCGTGAACTTATTGTTTTTTGTTTTGTTTTGTTTTTGAGTCAGAGTCCAGGCTAGAGTGCAGTGGCACGCTCATGGCCACTGCAGCCTCAACCTGCTGGGCTCAGACGATCCTTCCACCTCAGCCTTCCAAGTAGCTGGACACAGGCATGTACCGCTATGCCCAGCTAATTTTTCTTGATTTATTGTAGAGACCAGATCTCACCAAGTTGCCCAGACTGGTCTCAAACCCCTGGACTCAGACAATCAAAATGCTGAGATTATAGGCGTGAGCCACCGCACCCGGCCTGGACTTACTCTTGACTGTACAATGGGGACAAGAGAAATCTGAGCTACATAATCTCCAAGAGCTCTATAAATTCCCTCATCTGTGCATGCGTTAAAAAAGAAAAAATCTCAAAGTAGGCAGTCTCAAAATTGACAGTTTACTTCTTAGCAAAAATCCTTGGCCTCTTCTCAAAGCTATTTATTCTAAGCATAAAACTCTCACAAACCTCATTATCTGCTTTCCTACTCTACCACACAGCAGAGGTTATATGTAAGTAGGTGCCAACCCTGAAAATAAGAGACAGCTGTCATCTCTGCTACTGCCGCAACAATGACAGCCAACAGGCAAGAATGCCGGCGGGAAAATTCTAAACTTACAAGTCCAAAATTTCGAGCATAGTGTTTTGGTGATCGCAAAACCCCCATGTGCTAAATCATTTAAGTACAGCACAGGACAAGTAACATATATGTGCTGATGCTCAATCACTAGCTTTATCTTATTGGTAATTTTTTTTTTTTTTCCTTCGTTGGAGTCTCACTCTGTCACCCAGACTGGAGTGCAGTGGCCGCTCCCGGCCACCGCAGCCTCAACCTGCTGGGCTCCGGCGATCCTTTCGCCTCAGCCTTCCAAGTAGCCAGAATTACAGGCATGCACTACCACGCCTGGCTGATTTTTTGATTTATTGTAGAGATGAGGTCTCACTGCCCAGGCGGGTTCAGTAATTTTTTTAAAGCAAGAAAAACTTCAAAATGGCTCAAATACTGAAAGATAGTTCAAATATCTTGTTTATGGCCCATCATATTTATATCCCTCAAAACTAGTGGTTTTCAACCAAGGTGATTTTGCCCTCAGAAAACATTTAGCGATGTCCAGAGACACTGTAGTCATCACAACTATAGCAGTGCTGCTGGCATCTAGTGGCTAGAGGGCAGGGATGATGCTGAACACACTGCAGTGCACAGGACAGACCCACAACAAATGATCTGGCCCAAATGTCAGCAGTGCTGAGGCTGAGAAACGCTGCTCTAACCCCATGGCCTGGGTTTCTGGGCTTTAGTCCCAGGGACTTGCTTATTACCTGCCCCTTGGAACATCCTCTATGTAAACCAAATGGTAGAGGTTCTTTGATTTACATGCATGGGGTTACTACCTTTCAATTTTGGCAGGCTTTTTTGTTGGTGATGGTGGTTTGTTTTTCAGGAGCAGAATGCTTTTATTTAAAAAATCTTATCTAGAAACCAAATACACGATGTAAATATAAATAGGATTGCATTAATGTGTGGGTGGAGAGGGGTCCTCTTCAGAGATCCCTACTGGTCTGAAAACCTCTGGTCTCCTCAACTGTATCACTAAGACTGCCATTTCCGGACAATGGAAGAGTTCCAGCAACAACAGCAACGTAGCTAAGCAAATATGCTGTGTTCTCTGAAAACAATACTTTTGAGGCGTTTCCCTTCTTCAAGAGTATGGACACACCAGGCATTTCTGAATTCACTGAGCGCCTACTACATACTGGGCAGTGAGTTAGCACCGCAGATACAGTGAATAAAACACACATGACCCTGGCCTCCTAAGCTTGCATTCCAGCAGCAAACACACAATAAAAAACGAATTTAAAATATTTTTATATGAAATACATATTATCAACGATACATCACGCAAAGTTCCAGAAGGAAAAAACACAGCTGAATCCCTAATTGCTAAGAAAGCACTTCTTGGTCCCGCCCCCTAGACTGCAGGTGAAAAGTCTGGGAGTTCCGCGGGATCGGAGAGGAACCGTCGGTGGCGTTAAAGCCTCCACAACGTCAAAGCCCAGTAACAGGGAGGGCAGGCAGAGAATGAAAAGGTAAAGGAAGCACCCTCCCTCCTCTCTTTTAAAGTACAAACTGGGCGCTGCCCCACCCCACGTCTCTCGAAATGGAGAAAGCTTCAAAGCCGAGACATGTAACGGCGTCCCTGACTTCTGAGCATCCTTTTCAACCGGGCTGGCAGAGGAGGGCGGGCTGCCTGGCGCAGTGACAGGCGCGCGTGAAATTGACCAGCGAGCAGGTGCGTCCAGGACTTCAGCGCTCGGACCTCGCAGGGCGAGCGGTCTCCACCCGCAGAGAGTTGGGGGACTCGCCTCGGCCCCAAGTGGGCATCCCTGCCCGACACCTCGCACAGTGACCCGGCCGGCCCAGGGCCTCTCTGCACCCCCGGGGCCAGGGAGGGGGGCTCTGCCCCATCCGCGGCCTCCTCCACGTTAACCGTGGAGCACGGGCCGTCCACGAGGGTCGCCGGCCAGACCCGGCCTCGTGGAGCCAGCCGCGGCCTGCTGGGGTCAGGAGGGGCCTCGCGGGCCACTGCCAGGGAACGGCGTCAAGCGGCCCGGCCCCCCGCACGCCGCCCCAGCCCCGCGGAGCCCCGCAGAGCCGGGCCCGGGCGGGGTCCCGCCAGTCGGGACGCGGGGCCAGTACATGAGAGGGCGCGGAAGAGGCGCGCGGCCGGCAGCAGCAGGTAACACAGGCAAGAAGGGATCATGGCCGGCCGCGGCTCCCGCCTCCATCCTAGCCGCCGCCCGCCGAGAGGCTCTCAGCTCGGCCCCGCCCCCGGCGGGCCCGCGCGGTAGCGCCGCCTCTCCTCCCGTCGCCCGCACGGACGCCCTCGGCTCGGCCCCGCCCCCGGCCGGGCCACGTGGTAGCGCCGCTTTTCCTGCCGCCCGCAGGGACGCCCACAACTTGGCCCGCCCCCGGGCCGCCGCTCGGGGCGCCGCTGCCGCTTCCGCTTCCGCCGCCCGCGCTTCAACAACAACTTTATTGGGCGCTCGGAGCCGCCGGCGTGCTCGCAGGGAGCGGGGACAGCCGGTTCCCGTGGCAACGGGCAGCGCTCTCCCTGCCGCCAAAGCGGCGCCGGGGTTTTTGAGATGGAGTGTCTCGACGTGGTCACGATGGACTCACTACGGGATTCTGTCCAGACTTTTGATGAATAATTGTTGCTGCATTAACAGATTTGGAACATAGAAAAAATAAAGTAGCATCCAGTTGATTTTATGATTTAAAAATCTGATAAACCAATAAATGAACACATCTGCCAATAAAAAATAATAAAATTCAATGCCCATGGTATTATTCAAGGGGCACAGTTTACTCCCACTTCTGCCTCTAACTAGGTGTGTCCACCTTGGGACTACATATAACCTCCCGGCTCCTCAGTTTCCTCATCTGTAAAATGAAGGCTGGAATTTCTCCATGGCTTCGCTTAGCCCTGACTTTTTTGACCTAGCCATTCTCAGCCCGGAGAAGCCACGTTTTTCTGCCTCTACTGTCTTCCCCATCTCAGATTCTAGGCAACAAGCCTTGCTTCAGCAGGTAAGATTTTGTGTCCTTCCCCACCTGCTCCCAATGGGAAAAAGAAGGTGGCGTTCCATTGGTAAGGAAGAGGAAGAAAGAGGAAGGAAGGAAGGAAGGAAGGGAGGGAGGGGAAGGAAGGAAGGAAGGGAGGGAGGGGAAGGAGGAAGGCAGGGCGGGGAAAGGTCAGGGACCAATTCTGTCTAGTGGTTTATTTACCTTGAGGTATCTCTGCAGTGCCTAAAACAGTGCAGGCACCTAGTGGGGACAAAAGTAGGGACAAACAAGCCTTTGTTGACCGGTTGAACAAAGCATATGTCACTAACTGAAGTTTTTCCATCACTTCGGTGCTATTCTTTAAGTCTCTCTTTCCCAATTCCCCCCATCTTCTGTCCCAACCACTCTCTGAAGGAGGAAGGACTGCATAATACACCCCATTTCAGTACCCAGTGTCTGAGTTGTGTGATTTCCAACTTGTGGCTGGAGCCTTTGCTGTTCAGGGAAGCCCTCTGGGGAGTCACCAGATCCTGGACCAGCTGGGTACATCGTCACACTGAAAGGCTGAGAGGAGAAAGAAGGAGAGGGTCAGTATCATGGGATTCCCACTACTTACCCTTCGCTCCAGGCAGCCATGTCTGCCTTCAGGCAACAGCACTCCTCCCCTTGCCAGAGACAGGCAGAGGCGCCAGCAGCCCGAGGGTTGGGAAGGCGCTTAGAAACTGGCACACAAATGTCAGACCGACGTAAGGAGCCCCCAAGTTCAGGCCCACTCTTTGACGTGGCTCAAGTAAACCCTTCTTTTTACTATTCTGTACCAGTAGTTACCCAGAAGTCTAAGTTCCAAATCAGACCCTAAGTCAAGGTACTTACCTAGAGACTCTGTTTAGCATTTTGTGAAGTAATGCTTCCCTTATTTACTGAGAAAATATTTCTAAAATACAGATGTCTGGGCCTTGTTCCCAGAGTTCTCATTTAGCAGGTCTGAGATGAGATCCTTCAACATTCCCCTGGTTACTCTGATTATGGTTTGGGGCCCTCGCTACAGGGTCTAGCTTCAAGTGGGTTATTCCATTCACATGTGTGGGTCGCCTTGTGTCAAGCCAACTGGCTCGTGTTCTTTCAGAGGCTTCTCCTGAGGCCAGGAATTTTAGTAATGTTTTATGCCCAGGCTTCTTTTTGTTTCCTGATCCATGCATGACCAGCTGTGTTGGATCCAGTGGAGGGCGATACCAGGATCACAAGCTTTGGAATTAGACCACCCAAGTTCAGACCCTGGCTCGGCCACTTCCCACCCGTGGCGCCCATTAGGTTGCCTAACCTCTTGGGACCTCAGTTTCTTCATCGTACCTGACCCAGGGTAAGCTCTCATTCTTTACTATTATATTTTTTGAATGTGGGCAAAAAACAGCTCTGGCCGCTGTCACCGTAGGATCTTCTTCCACAATCCCTGGCCAAAATAAAGCTCCTGCCCTCCAAGTGGTCATGTCACATTCCCGAGCAAGTCAATAGCGGCAGATTCCAAGGAGACTTGGCTGGAGACATGCCCCTTCAGGCTGACCCAGTCAAAGGAAAAGTACAAGCACAATCTGCACCATCCCCAGCCTCATTGTGTCAGAAACATTCCACCAAGAAGGATAGGATAAATCCCCCAACTCACCCCCACTGTGATAACACTGATGAACACCTATCTTCATCACAAGTGTGGCTTCCAGGGTGTAGAACCTACCTACAAGTGGGAGGTTTCACAATACTTTGAGGTTTCACAAAATGTTCTCTTTTGGCTGGGTGCAGTGACTCCCCTATAATCCCAATACTTTGAGAGGCAGAGGCAAGAGGATTGCCTGAGCTCACAGGTTCGAGACCAGCCTGGGCAATATGGTGAGACCTCATCTCTACAATATATAAAAAAATTAGCCGGGCATGGTGGAGCATGCCTGTAGTTCCAGCTACTTGGAAGGCTGAGGCAGAAGGATTGCCTGAGCCCAGTAGGTCGAGGTTGCAGTGGCCGGGAGTGTGCCACTGCACTCCAACCTGAGCAACAGATTGAGACTCTGACTAAAAAAAAAAAAAAAAAAGTTCTCTTCCATGGGCATTTCCTGTATAGAGGAAACCAAAACCCTTGAGAGCTCAAATTTTACTTATGACAAAAAGTATGTATCAGCTGGGGAGGTGGCTCATGCCTATAATCCCAGCACTTTGGGAGGCTGAGTGGGAGGATCGTTTGAGGCCAGGGTTTTGAGACCAGCCTGGACAACATGGCAAAAACTTGTCTCTACAGCAAAATTTAAAAATTAGCGGGGCGTGGGAGTACTTGCCTATAGTCCCAGCTACTTGGGAGGCTAAGGTGGGAGGATCACTTGAGCACAGGAGTTCAAGGTTACCGTGAACTAAGACTGTGCTACTGTACTTCAGCCTGGATGACAGAGCAAGACCCTATCTCACAAAGAGAAAAAGCATAAAATATATGGAATTTCAACAGGCTGGCTGTCTCTGTTCTCTTATTGGTTGAACATGTGTGATACTGGGGTGGCATAATATTTCCTTCAGGACTGCAGTTGCCACTGACCAAGGCTGGGAACCATGCTGCCCAAATAAACATAACATTGAACAACACATGTAATTTAAAATACTCTAGTAGCCTCATATACAAAGTAAAAATAAATAAGTTAACAAATAAAGCAGTGAAATTAATTTTAGTAATGTTTTATGTAACCCCATAGATCCAAAAATTTAGTATTTTAACATATCATCGGCATTTTTAAAATTTTTTTTTTTTGAGTTGGAGTCTCACTTCATCACCCAGTCTGGAGTGCAGTGACACGCTCACGGCGACCCCAGAGACGACCTGCTGGGCTCCGGAAATCCTTCTACCTCAGCCTTCCAAGTAGCTGGAACAACGGACACATGCTACCACACCCGGCTAATTTTTAAATTTATTGTAGAGATGAGGTCTCGCCAAGTTGCCCAGGCTGTTCTCGAACCCATGGGCTCAGGCAATCCACTCACCGCGGCCTCCCAAAGTGCCGAGATTACAGGCTTGAGCCACCGTGCCCAGCAGCATTTTTAAATGACTTATTTTATGTTCTATCTTGTGTGCTAAGTCTTTAAAATCCAGTGTGTGTTTTCCTTGGACATCACATCTCCTCTTAGACTAGCCATATTTCAAGTTCTGAATAGTGACAAGCACCTAGTGGCTACCATGTTGGGCCTGCACAGGTCTAGAGAGCACACACAGCCTCTCAGAATCGAACGAAAAGAATTGTCCATCTTCATTTCTGATGGTAACCAGAGGCCCCTGTCCTCCCAGTAACGTGGCTTCTCTGAACCTAGTGTTTCCCTGAGAATCTTAAGACTATGGCTAGAGAACGTGCCAGAGGAGTCTGAGTTGATGCATTCATTCACTCACTTATTCACGCTTTCATAAATGAGCGATGTATCAAGCACTCATCAATGTTTACCCAACCAAACCTTTGTCCTTTCTTGACCTCCTGTCTACCCCATTCCCAATTCCTTGAAGACCCACAGTCTCCCTCCTGACAGCAAGCCCTCCCATCAGCTGTGTGGGTAAGCCACCCTCACCCCTGGAAGTTCATTGGCATGACCTCCACAGTGACCCTCATTCCCGTTGGATGTTAGACACTCCCTGCACAGCCACACCTTGGACATATCATCCCTTGGTACCGCTCCACCTCTGGTGTTGGGAACTCCCACTCCCGCTCTGATGATCCCCTCGTGGCTTTCTGCCCCGCCACCCGCAACCTTTACTTCTGCTCCGTCTGTTCATTAACTCCATCAGAACCTCAACTTCTATATTCGGTCTCTCCCGAGCTTCCTCTCAGCCGTCATTTCTCTCCCTGTGCAATGTGGAAACCCCATGATCCATGTTTTAAATCACTCTCTTTCCAATATCAGCTCTCCTTCTGTTGTTCTTGGGTTATGTCTGCCAGACCAGCAAACCCACCCTTCTTGGTGCTTACGTCTGGGCTGCTGAGAACCAATGAGTACAATGACCAGCCATGTGGATTGGAGCCACTCACGTGCTGGTCTCCAAAGCTCACTTCAGGCCTCAACCTGCCCCAGCAATCCTGGGCTCTTTCAGTAGCCATCTCTCCCTTTCCAACAATGACCATTCTTCTCAAATGTGATGCCCTCTTGTCCCGCCTTCTTGCTCTCGGATTATCTCCCCATCAACTTTAGAAAGAAAATAGAACCACCAAGTGTAAACTCTCTACTTCCTGTGTTGCTGCAACAACGCACTGACCAGCGT